TAGAGGTTCACTTATTCGTCTCTCTTTGAGTTGGGTATCGATATCTTCCGATTTAAAGGCCGTGGCTGGCATGGGAATTTCAACAAACCGACTGCCATTATGCATTTTCGCCAAACCAAGTCTAGCACACGACATCTCATAGTGTGGCCGTGAGCCTCGTCTTTGTCGGTGCCTTCGTGTATGGTTTCGCCAGCTAAGCCTTTCAGATAAATTATCGCGACATGTGCTAGCATGATTTCTACGATCACTTGGCATCTGCGAGTGGTAGATAGACCGATGCAAATGAGGTGAGTCCTCAGAGGAATATGTTGAGGTTGAGCTCGAAGTAGAAGTTAAGGAAGATGATTTACAAAAAAAAGAGTGTTCGTTAATATTTAGCTCCTCAGCCGAATTAGGCCTATTTTCTGTCCAGAAAGCCTGCCGTCCTGACATCAGCCGATTCTTTCCGAAGGAGAAACGCGGAATTTTATCGCCTGATTCCACTGAGGACGACTCCAGGTTGATTTCTTGGAGACCGTCCTCGTCCAATTGGTCTGATGCATAAAATTATAAGAAATAGAGGGTAAAAATAAACAGCACTTGTAAATAAAATATTTGACAAATGATAGCTAAGTTGATTCCAGATGGCCGCGAACTTAATCTTTTCAATGCTGTGAAAACAAAGATGGTGTGGTATCTGGTATGGTTGCGATCTCCTTTCGTTCTATAGAAGTGCTTTGAACTCGTTTTCGCAAATTAATCATATTGTCACAGAAACTTAGATGAGAGCACCTTGACGAGAGTACTATACTATGATAATTATCAACGTTGAAAATCGGATTGGCACATTTCCAGAAGTTTTCAGGTACGAAGCTCATAAGACTGCTATTAGATAAATTTGGACAACATTTATTTTAATATATTTGTTGAGATACAGGATTACACCTTAGGGCGGTGATTCTCAAACTGTGCGCCGGGGAGCCACAGCCCCTGTACAGGGGCGCCGCGAAATATTGTAAAAGCTTCATAATTAATTTAACTCAGACATTTGACCTAACTAAAAAAAACATGAGAGAAAACGCTGTGTATTCTCGATCGCGCCATATGATCGCACTAGACACGTCGAGGGGCGTAGAACCTTCACGACAAATTTGGAATGTTCTGGAAGATCTTGTGGAAAGTATATAAGCAAGCATTGTCGGCTAGATTCAGTCAGTCAACTTACAATTTGAGTCTAGTGAAGTTAAACTTAGCGCTTCATATATAAATAAACAGTGACATAAATTAGTAAATAAATTCATATTGTAATTTAGTTAGTGTTATATTACTTCTTGTTTGTTGACTTTGATAAATAATTTTGTGATTTTTGGCTCTTGTATCTTTGATAATGGATAGGTTTTTGAACAGTTATAAACGTAATAGTGTAGGTAAAGAAAGTATGCATTTAACCAGTAGCACTAGTGTGAAGAAACGAAAATATTTGGCAGCATGGAATAGACAGAATTTTGGATTTCAATGAAAGATTAATATCCCTTTCTAATTGATAAAGCTCAGCGGAATCTAATTCCATTTTCAACGTCGTATATGTGGGAAGCTCGGTTTTCGGCGGCCGCTGTAATAAAAAGCAAGTATAGAGCAAAAATCAACGTGGAAAAGGAAATGAGGGTGGCCGTGTCCACTTTAATTCCACGATTTGAGAAAATGTGCAGTGATTTGCGGGCTCATTCATCACATTTATCATTAAATAGTAATTTAATTTTAATAAAGTAAAATAAATAATGAAGATATACGAGCTTTAGAAGTTGTTTGATCTTGTTTTCGCAACTCGTTCATATTGTTAGGAAGACTTAGGCGAACGCACCTTGTCCGGAGTACACTGTATGCATCATCATTTGCAGAGTAGGACCGTAGACGTGGTACATTCCCAGACGTTTCGCC